CATACATAATATGCCTTCGTGTAAGATTCTCTGACTTTATATGGGCTGTTAACAAAGATAGATCTCAACTTCATGTGACTACACAAAGACCATCTGAAATCCATGAGCAATATCTTAAAAGCCACTCTGGATTCTTCAGGAAAACATCACTTTACTTATCTGTTAATCAGCTGCACCATAACCTACTTTCTATTTGCATGTTAGTGGTTGTTTCAATGTACAACTGATAAACAAACAGGTTTTGGACTCCTGATGTCGCTGAGTGAAAGAACAGGATGAGGCTGGGTGTTTCAAACAGATGTCAGTGTAGAGCAATCACATAAGTAATGTACTAATTATAATAGCTTACTTTTGGGTTTCTCTAAGCTGCTCGATCTTATTGTGAGAACTTTTCGTTTGGCGATGTACCAACTATTGCAGAGACAGTTCTGTAATCTTCTACAACCACTTTTCGAAATCACTGGAAATTAAACTTCATCACTATGTGCGGCACTACAGTGATTCTTAATGATAAGACTTGCAAAGTGTTTCACATAAAACAAAGAGGCCTATTTGAGTTTTATGAGGTTGACCTTGTGAGGCGAGGAGGACACTTGGCTGGTAGTTTATTAGTTAATTATTACAGGTGTTAAAATATCACGCCACAGTTGAGCAGAGCAGAGCCGAGCCACTCAAATATTGGTCTTTGAGCTATAAAAGCTCCTGCAGACTGCATGTGCCCCAGTTCCCTGCTCTTATCTTATCTGCTGGATGTCATTGCAATAACACAACCTGTTATTTCCCAAACCGTAATGATGCAGGGCATGCAGACACCGGTGAAGGGGGAAGAAGCCCTCACAATGTGAGGCTGCAGAATGTCTCGAGCTTACCGAGAGGCCAACGCACTGAGGTCATGCGCGCTTTGAGTTTCAGTCATAACGCACTGAACTGATTATGAGCAGGGGACGCTCCTTGCGCTGAAGGGAGGGAAGACGACCCTCTACTCTTTGATCTCTGCCATTGTTCCATACCTGAAGCATGACATCAAGCCTGACTGCCAGAGTAAACCAAAACAGATTTTGCTTGAAGAGCTGCAAAAAGGGGAAGCACAGTGTCCAGCCCTGCAATGAGTAGCCTTTGACATGGCAGAAATCAATCTGGTCGGTGTTAACTGCTCTGCCTTCAGGGTGAACCTGAAGAGCTGGTCCCTGTTACAACTGTGCAACAGCATTTATCAGATACCTTTCAACATTTATCACAGTATCAAATATAACTGTTAAGAAAAATACACACCGCCTGGTATTAGCTGATAGGTTCATACAGTAAAACCACCGTTTACATTCTGTATGATTACTAACATTATTTATCTGTCATCATTAGTTCTGTGAGCATAATTTATTTCCCATTTAAGTGAGGTATTCATCCACAGGCTCTAAACAAATCATCATCCAGCAGACAAGAAACTTAGAAATGAGGTCCTGAACTGCTTCCACGTGAGTGGTAAAAGATTGATACCATGGGATCAACAAGGAATTTACCAACTGAGCCTGCTGTTCCTCTGTATCACTTAATTCTGTCTGTGCCAAAACAATCAGGGTTTCCATTTTAGTTTTACTGCATTAAAACATCTTTATTGAATCTGAAGTCTGGCTTTAGCTGAGCCCGTTGGTAATTTAAATGGTAACAAACATTCTTATCTCCGTGCTGCCAACAATAACACAAGATGTCTGTGGTTAAAAAAGGCAAGTTTTGAATCCCGTGTCTCCAATAAGACTCATATTCCCCCAATCTGATTTATGATTCACGTATCAAAAGGAGGTAAACATGTCAAAAACTACTTCTGTGACAATTGGCAAAGATACTGTGTAATTTCCAAAGTATGTCTTCTCTGCAACATAAGTCAGCACAGTTATGGTTTACGTCAAAAAGGCCCATTATTTTGGTAGAAATATTCTGATCACAACCACTAGTCTCAAGTGGAACAAATTTATTTTACTGCAACTTCTGCATAAAGTATTGGCTATTTCAACTTCTGCAGGGATGAGAAGTGAAACAACCTGTTCTGGGGAACTGCGTCTTTAAAGTATCAACTGTTCAGACTAAAGTTGTGAAATACATATGCAACTTCACATCTAGTTCAATTTAAACACAGATTATGTTATGATAAGGAGGCAGTTAATGTTTGGAGTTCGACCTGTTACAAAGCGTAGAAGTGATGCTCTGACAAACATGACTGAAGTTCAATCAGACTGCACATCTGGAGCCATTTCTCCCCGGCAACATGAAACATTTCAAAAGCGCAGGGCTTCTCTACCTGCTTTTTTGTGCTTTCTGTCAACCCCCCCCCCCCACTCTTTCTAATGACAGTAGACCTTGTTGCTTTCTATGGATCAATTATCTCAGTCTCTTTCAATGACAAAGAGCAGCACATTGAGGTCGGCCCTGCCTAAGGCCCAGACATACACCAGGAATCTATTGTAAGAAGAAGGCACGTGTGTATAGCACACAAACCTGCACAATAAAACTGCCTTCATTCAGATCCTTCTTTCAAAACCAAGAGATGCAAGACAATTAAGTTCGACCAACACAGACATGTTGGGGTACTCTCAATGACATTTAGCATCACAAAGACATACAGGCGGAAAACAAAAGGACCTATAGACTTGTGTGAAACCCTGGAGGGAAAAAAAAAAGTCCTCAGCCCTTGACAGTTACGTTCAGCTCAAATTCTAATGAGCCATTGTCAACAGAAAAAAAAAACAGTCTGAACATCCTCTTACTATGCAAAGTAAACTAATAAAGGGCATCAGTACAATAAAGAGGACACATACAAATTGGTTACCCTTGTCAGATGAAATAATGCTGTGATCACGTTGCCAAAATTAAACAGCTGAACGGTTTAAGGTGAGAGAGTCCATGAGGAAAAGGAGAAAAGCTAATTATTAATTCCACTGGGATAACTACACATTAGGAAATTACTTTAAAATGAAGGAAAACAACACACCAACATGACAGCAGCCATGCCAAGATGACCTACTTCTATAATTTTAAACGAAGAACGTCATGCTGTAGCCACTGCAAAACTGGCGACCAAACTGGACTGAATTTAGGGATTTGAATATATGTGCGCATATTCATTTTAACCACCATATAAATGAAAGGGAAATGAGAGAAGAGAGGGATTTAAAGTATGCAGGGCACAGTGGAATTTCAAACCCCAACCCCCTTCCCCTGCTCCCCTCAAGCCTACACTGTAAAAGCCCCCCTACGTCAGTTTCCATCACTTGGGTTTAACTCATGATTAGCTAAATTGATTTGCCTTCTCACCTCTGTCTGACTATTAAAATAGCACTTCCTATTTATCACCAAGCGGTCCTCAGCGCTGCATAACTTTCTGTCCTGCAAACCCGAGTAGAGGAAGATAAAGAAGTACAGCATGTGCCTACATAGAAAATGTTAAAACCACAAAACCAGACAAACCTAGACGGGGAAAAAATCCATAAGCCTTGTTCACAATGCACAGGAATGTTTACTAAATCACTGCAGGCTGTCTGCACTTCACAGCCGTAGGAGTCCCTGGTAAGGAAGCCTGGAAATAAACACAGGCCTGGCTTCTTTCAGTGGGGAGCACAGCCTATGTGCTGATTATACCTCTTTATTGTTATGAATTACCTACAAGTATTTCCTAGATGAGGACTATATTTACACGCTGGAGTAGAGGAGTGCTTTACAGCCTGAAGAATTCATGCCCAAATGTTTCGCTGCTACTTTCCCCTGAACATAATAATGTACTGTGAAATCCAACATTTACAAAAAGCCCCATGTTTGCAAGACTAAAGGGATAGTTTGGATTTTTTGAAGTGGGGTTGTATGGGGTACTTATCCATTGTCAGTGTACACGGATGCTAACCAATGTACTACTTTGGATGGGGTCAGCAATAAAATTAATTTAGCCATCTAAAAAATAAAATAAGTTCAAGTGTACGCTATACTGAGTTATGACAGGAAAACTGTTCACAGCTTTAGTTCCTCATCTGTGCTTTCTTTAAAGACTCTATTGACAAAAATAGTAATTTCAGCTTGCTGAACATGGACCCTGCTGCCTGGCTACCTCGATCAGTATGTTTGTGTTAATGTGTGACTTTAGCAAATCCAAAACCACCCTTTAAAACAACAAAATCACACAATAACACAAACAAAATCACTGATCGAGGGAGTGGTAGACCAGCAGCTCCTGTGTTCAGCAATGTTAAATCACTGGTTTTCTCAATGGAGTCTGGCTTTAATGAGAGTGATGTATTCATTCATTCATTTTCCAACTGGAAATCACAATGTGGCATTAAGTTAAAGCCATGAAAATACTCTCCGTAAAGTGTACAATTAAACTGATGTTAAATTTTTTAGGTGGCTAAAATATATTTTGTTGCTAACCCCTCCTTAGCTGTACATAGCTTAGCTTCTGTGTTAGCTTCTCAATGCTGGGAGTGTGCCGACTTACATCTGCTGAATGTAATATACCGTCTACATCTAAGTACCCCATACAACCCCACTTCAAAAAGACCTGAACTATCCCATTAACTGTGTTTCCACATAGACTTTGACAGAAGCACAAAATGTCCCTACACAAAAGTGACAGTTTAACTATTTGTTGTAGGGCCTTTCAAACATTTCATGTCAATGACTCCTAAACTTTATAATGCTTTATAAGATATGGTCTTCTAGACAAACATCTGGAAAACCTTTTAAAGTGAATTGTGGCGTCAAATAGCCGACTGTCTCCTCTGTATTACAGAAGCTAACAATGTTACAGCAGAAACCTGTGAATGAATCTCACTGACCTTTACCCCCTCACACATGTAGCTAGCTTAACATGTTCTCATTAGCTAGCTTAAGGACCACCAGGAGACCTCTGTAGGACCCGTGGGGGGTCCCCGGCCCCCACCTTGGGAACCACTGCTGTGGAGTACAATAATTGAGGTTTTAAAAGATCAGGTTTAAAAGCTAAAATCTCATGGACTCACCGTTGACTCCTTTGTTGGGGACATCGTTGACGTTGAAGCCTTTGGAGCTGTAAGCAGCACGGACGTCGTTGCAGTTTTTCAACTTTTGCTCCGCAGTCACCGCCACAGACAACACAACCAGCGTGCAAACCACACACAACACCAACAGCGTCTTCATTTTATGTCCGTTTAAAGCAAACTACAAAGTTACCAGCACAAAAAAAGTATAAAACTAAGCTATCTATATTATCGCCCAGGTGTGTGTGTGTAAGCTAGGACAAAGTTTGAGCGACTCCCACGCTGAGTTTCCTCATGGAGACGCGCTGATTTCTTCAGCTCAACAGATACTTCATTCACAGCAGCAGCTCTGAGGCCACCTCTGAAACTTTGAGGCAGGAAAAAACACCGAAAACGACCTTAAACACTGTCCACACGTCGTCCGCTTAAAAGCACGGGTGTGTGTGATAAATATCGAGTGCCAGACTCGATCGAAAAAACACGAAAAAGCAACGAAACAACAGTTTTAAAACACGTAAAAACTTTTTCAAACTGCAGGCAGGAATCTCAGAAACACACTGCTGCTTCACAGCTTCGACGAAAGTGTAAACCACGGGAGGAGAGGAGACGGTGGAAAGTTGCCGGGAAGGTGTTTTCTCTTCTTTCTTCCTTTCTTTTCTTGCTTTCTTTCCAAACCTGGAGAGGCCGTGGTTTCTGTAGGACAGGACTCTGGACTGTATGCTAGTCGTACTGGGATCCAGATGCGAGCAGAAAACCCTAGTGGACACCCAGGAGTGAGTGCAAGTTCCGGGGACAAAGACCTGGAAAGCAGGAACACCAGGGGTGGAGCATGGAGCAGGGACTTGAAAACCATGGATCTCTCTCTTTCTGCAGTGTCTAGACGAGTGGAAACCAGTCTTGAAAATCAGGACTGGAGCTGAGGGTGGAGCTACACTGTGGCATAACATGAAGACTTATTACTGGTCCACATGACACAAGGAAAGGAAACTGTAGATAACCAGAAGTCCTCAAAGTCTCAAATCACCTTAATTGCAGAACTGCACAGCCCCATTTGACCTGATGTTGAAAGGGTTTCCTTATCTGTTTTTACAGTCAGACTGGAGATAACCACAGAGATAAACCCATTTAACCACACCTCTGCCCTAATGTAAAATAATTGACATCATTAGTAAATATAAAGCTTTTTCTCTTCTCCCCCTCGAAACAACCCAGGGACCCTTAGGGGTCCTGAATCCCCGTGTTGAAGACCACTTAATTTTGTAATTGAAGCGTGTCCATGATGAGAAATTTTAAATTAAATGACAACTCATTATGGAGCATATGGGCGGATTGTGAGACAATGGGCCCCTGGGCACAGATATGCAAAAGGTCCCAACACCGATCCTACACAGGAGGAGGATACTTTGTGGTGGTTTTGCGTCTTTGTAGTAGTTACGGATCTTTTGTGATTTTATGGCTTTCTGTAGTTTTTTGTGTTTCCTTGTGGTTGTTTTGTGTGTCACTGTGTGTCTCCTTGTGGTTTATTTGGGTTTCATTGTCGTCGTTTTGTGTCTCCTTGTAGTCGTTTTGTGTCTCTTTGTGGTGTTTTTTTATCTCTTTGTAGTCATTTTGTGTCTCTTTGTAGTCACTTTGTCTTCTTGTGGCTGTTTTGTCTTTGTGTAGTTCCTTTGTGTCTTTTTTGGTCGTTTTGTGTATCCTAGTGATTGTTTTGTGTCTCTTTGTAATCACTTTGTGTCTCTTCTTGTGGCTTATTTGTGTCTTCGTGTAGTTCCTTTGAGTCTCTTTGGTTATTTTGTGTCTCCTTGTGGTTCTTTTGTGTCTCTTTGTAGTCACTTTGTGTCTTCTTGTGGCTGTTTATGTCTTTGTGTAGTTCCTTTGTGTCTTTTTTGGTTGTTTTGTGTTTCCTTGTGGTCATTTTGTGTCTCTTCTTGATGTTTTTTGAATCTCTTTGCAGTTCCTCTTTGTGGTCATTTTGAGTCTCTCCCTTGTCAGCAGTTAATTTGTCTTAATTTGTGTTAATTTTGAAGATGAAGGCCGGGGTGCCTTTAATAAATAAAATTAAATAATGCTGCACCATCATGAATGGATTCATGATGGTGCAGCATTATTTATTTGACATTTTTTTCTCCAAATGCCTTTTTTAATTGTATGACAGTGATTTACATAACAACAAGGCACATGACTCTGAAGACACGTTTTGTCCAAATGTGTTATTTCTGTTCAGCCTTTATAATCCAATACATCTTAGTTTGTTTAAAACCCTCGGATTAAAACCTGGCTAGTGTTACAGTAACCATGGAGTCAAAATTACAGGCCTGTTCCTTACACAAACACAGGTCAGGCTGTGTGCTGTTAGCAACGGGGCAGTTGTGTCTCTTAATATGCAGCTGCCTGTCATAGTGCGGCCAGTCCTGTAAACTACAGTAAACAGTCTGCTGGAAGCATGGTGGAGCTGTACAAGTGGACGGAGAGTATTAAAGTATTACAAAAATTAATAAATGAATTGTTAATCCCACTGAACAGGAAGATCACAATACATTCCTTTTGTAAACATATAAACCATGCGAGCAGCTCACTGTCATGGTGTGCATTTGGAATAATCCAAAAATCACTCAAAACGTTTGTTGAACACATCGTAGCTTGTGTTAAAGCACCAGCATACGCCTTAAAGATAAACACGGAGATCAGGGAAAAACTGTAACAAATCCCTTCATTACAAACTTTCAGGCTGAATAATTTCATCCTTAAATTCTCGAGTGTGCATCTGCATGTATTCTGAAATGTTACTTTTCAATATGCCATCTGTTCAACAGATATGTTAAATCCCCCATATCCTCGTCCATCCTCTGCTTGCTAAGAATATCTCATGTCTCCTTCACTCATATTCCTTTTTTTTTTTCCACCAGGTTTTTTTCTTTTTCCTATTCTCAGGAGCAGTTTGTTAAATCTGCAGTCATGCTGTTTTCTGTCTCTGACCTTTGCCCTCCTTGCAACTTGTTTCTTCTTGTAACAGTGGAAAAATCAATTTAAGTCTATTTTCCCCTGATAGGACAATCAGTTGGAGCAATGAAATGCGAGAAGTTAACTGTCAGCCTCTTAAAATCACCGTCACAGATTTCCTCTCTTCAAAGATAATCATTGTAAACCAGAAAGGGCAGAAATTTAGTCTCAAATATGTTACAAAGAATTTGATTAAGTGCACAATGTTGCATCCAGCCTTTTTCCGTAAATCCCTTAATTTAAAATAAGTCATAATCAGAGTTTTTACCCCCTGTGTTTAAACATGCCTGGACTTGTGTGGGGCTTCTGTGTGTGTGTGTGTGTGTGTGTTGTGTGTGTGCACACGCTCATTGGTTAAGGGGGGGTAGCACTCAGCAAAATGACATTCCTCCTTTTGTGTCCACATTCCTCAGGCGGCTCCATTCATTCTGTGTGACTGCGGCTGCTGCAGGGGAAGCCAGCGGTTGCTGAGGAGCAGGAGGAGGATGCTGGAGCTGTGTGCATGGGAGAGCGTGGGCCCGGCGCTCCTCTCAATAGGCCAACAAAAGGTAAGAAAATGGTCCAGTGCCATGGTAATTAGACATGAATGAGCTTTGAACGACGTGACATGTCTCAGGCTTTTCTCTCCGGCTGAGGAATTTCACCATCCAGCTTGGTAAAAATTGGACTGGACTGGGGAACCCATACACACTCAAGCACCTGAATTATATTGTTATTTTAATTTATATGTGCCGCTCGATGACCCCTCAGGCTCGTAAAGGTACCCAAGCCCAAACATCTTTGTGTGACTATGAAATAGTGCTGAAATACATATTCATAGGGAGTCAGTCACTCAGGCAGAAAATGCAACAATTCCTGATAGTCAGCTATTCTCACTGTTCCTGCTGACTAACATCAAATTGACCTTTCACTCTCATAATGCTTGCCATTCCAACATTGCCCCAATATTACCCTAAGAAAACACGTGAACTCTGCATTTCAATAGGCCTGTTTGCCCTTTCTCCAGCCTCGCATTAGCATTCAGAGTATAACCCCCCCATCCTGGGTGAGCTGCTGCTCTCTCTGCAGCCAGCGTTTGCTCATCTCCTAATGATCAGCCTCTCTTTTCCATCTTAAAAGCTGCAATCCAGTTCAGGGGAGAAAAACACAGCTGGATAACAATGGTGTTTTTATCTGGATCTGGGGAGCAGAGGCTGCGTGGGTGTGAAAAGTTACAGCAGAGCGCCAGGACACAGAAACAGGATTTTGAAGTGCGTTTGTAGTGACAGGCGTGTTATGTGTGGAGCTGTGAGTGATTGGCCTTGTTAAGAAAGTAGACAGGCTTTAAAGAGCGAGACAAAACACAAACAATTAGGACTAATGAACCTCGTTTCATTGTTGAGCTGTGGGTGAGCGTCTGTTACCTGGTTAAGGTGACTCCAGGGGTGAAACTAATGGGGTTGGGTGTAGAGAAACCCCACAGAGAGAGGCAGATCTTATGCCCAAAGTGGTTCATCATCTGCTGGGAGTGAGAAATACAGATCCAGAGAATAACACACATGATTCACATGCTGCTTTGAGGTTTCGGAGAACTACCAGCACACTCCAGAGAAACATAAATTACATGATTCATGAAGGGCTTTGAAGTGGATCAGAGGGTGAAAAGCACATAAAGTAACATATATACTTGCAACATTGTGTGTCCTATTCATAACCCCTGCAGCATGCCATCCATTTTCTCTCTTATTATCCCCTCACACTTAAAGGAAAATTCCACCCTAAATGCCTAAATATGTGGCATTAAAACTGTTTCAGAAGTTATTTTGATATCTGTCATTTAATGTTTTTCAGTTTACCCCTCCCATCCCTTTCTTTAACAACCTAGCTTACCACTGTTACCTCAGTTAATGACCTCCTACATTTCAGCTAAGACTCCGTTAAGACCCCAGAGAACTGCACAGTTATTTATCACCCTACTGTGGTGTGATAGGCTAGAGTTTATCAATTCAATGCGCTGCAGAAGGGTGCAGTTAGGGTTAAGACAAAGAGGTCATAGTTTGGGATAGTATTAGTCAATCACAGTGCAGTAGGGCGGGACTGGGTGAAACAAAATAACAAGAAAAAAAACAATGCCTGAGAATTTGTTGCATAGAAGAGTCAAAGCCATAGACTGTAAAAATATAATGGATGTGGACGTAGCCACCGTGAGGTCTGCCGTTGGTTTGTGGACTCCTGTTTTGAAGCCATCTTGGATGTGACCTGAAGTGACTGTTCCCCTGAAGTCATCAAATACCATCGCTTTGTCAGTGATTTTGGTGTCAGACCCTGATGCAAAAAGGCACCTTTAGCAGCAGTATCATGCTGCCAAGAAAGGTGCTTTTGTTTATAACACAACCAAACAGCCAGACAGACCAGACCAAGTTTGAAACAACACCTGTAACAACACAATATAAGGAGCTGGAAAGTCCCTATAGAGTGGGTGGGAAGGGAGGAGGATGGATCCATCCAACAAACCCCGGACTTTCAACTGGGAGGCTGCTGTTCACATCCTTTGTGAACGTAGAGCCAAACCATGTTTTTTCTAAACCTAACCCCATGCTTTTGTTGCACAAGGAAATAACTGTATATACAAAGTGTTAAACTAATGTAAGTTTATTTTGAAAAAGACTGTATGCATCTAGCTGTATCCTGGGACGTCAACAACAGATGTAGGAGGATACCTAGTGCGTCATAGGCATGAAAGGCCACTGAAGATATTTGATGTGTTGGGATGAGAATGTGTTGCATTAAAATGAGAAGACGGCGCTGTGAGAGAGTGAGGGGTGGGTCTAACTTATAGGCTGTGGTGATGCCTTGCAG